GGGCGGGCCCCGGGGAGACCCGGGCGGGCCTCGAGGAGCGCGGGGCGGGCCGGGGCGGCGCGCCGGGAGCTGCAGGTGCCGGGAGGGCAGCGGCCGGACGGCCCGCTTCCGCCCGAAGTTGCGGCCGAAGTTGGGGCTGGTTCCTAAAAGGCGATGGCGGGTCCCCGCGGGGTCAGGGGAGCCGCTGCCGGGCTCCAGGCCCGGGGCAGGTGCCCGGGTGTGGGACAAGGCGCCGCGCCCGGCGCTGGGAGCCTGGGCACCGGTCTGTGTTTGGGGGGTGGGGGCGCGGCCACAGCCACCCGGGGCCCACGGCCTCCCGCCCGCAGACTCGGTCGCCCTCCCGGCACAGCCCTGCGTCTTTCCCCCTTTCGGTGGGATCGCGAATCCCCCAAGCCCGTGAAAACCAGGGCCGGTCCTCCGCAGGCAGCAATCCTGCAAGTGCCCCTTAGGAAAAAACAGAAAAGTGGCAGATCCCTAGCAGACTGCCGCAAAACCTGGCCCTTCATTGTCTTTAAAGAATTTAAGAACTCGTTAGGTCTTAAAGCATTTCCCTGGGACCCAGTTTTCTTGTAGGTAATAATATATCCAACAGGGGCCCTTAGATGTTAACGATTCTATTAATCCTTTTTAATGTACTCTGCGTGACTTTTTTCTCGATCTCATTCGATGCCTTTTTCACTTATTCGATCCTTTAACTTATTCAGTCCTTTAACTTATTCAATCCTTTTAAACTTATTTATTCTGTATTACTTTTTTCTCCATCTCACTCATTAGATTCCGCGCCCCCCCCCCCCCCCCCATTTTACTCTGTGGTTGGTACACAGCACAAACCTATCATCAGTTCCCCCAGACGACGAGACTTCCTCAGCAAATGATACAGTCTGGGCAAAGACAGGTGGAAGAGTGTCTCCAAAGGATGGAATTTTCCATCGTTTTGCCAATGCTAGTTACCTACAGCGAAAATCTTAACTCTGCACTTGGATGTTCGCCTTTCGGTTTATGACAAATGTTGCTCATACACCCTCTTGATTGTTTTTACAGTTAATTGATGTGGAACTCATTTTTAGGAAAAGAGCTTCATTCAAAATGGTAAAATAATGAAATGAGGTATTTGAACATTTTATCTTTGGATGGAGATCTGAGAATGAAAAGAGCGATTAATCCAAGCCATGTGGTAAAAGCAGGAATTTGAAGAAAATGGAAATGTTTACATTTTTGTGGACATGTGTTTTCCTACCCTTCATAAGCGGACACAGCCTTTTCACCTGTGAACCAATTATTGTTCCCAGATGTATGAAAATGGCCTACAACATGACATTTTTCCCTAATCTGATGGGTCATTATGACCAGAGTACTGCTGCTGTAGAAATGGAGGTGAGTAGTTCTTCATACCGTTATAGAAAAATAGTTTATGCTCTGTTCTGGGATAAACTATAAATGCGACTTTTTTTTAAGACAGTAAGGGATTCTTTCAGTTGTGTACAAATCATATTTGGAGTAAATCCTTTTGAAAATTAAGTCCCCCTTTTAACTTGCGTTTGTGTACATTTGTGGCCCTGTTTAATGCATTTACTTAAGATAGGGTTCGTTTTATATGAAGTATAGTAATAAATGATTTAGAAATACCTTGCACCTGGCAAATATTTTGCTTTCCTGAATCAATTATGGTAATGCCTCTAATAATGTGAATTCTGGATTTTTCCTAATTCACTGAACATACAATCTATAGTGCCTGGACCACATATGTTTTCATAAGTAGTTGCAATATTCACTTGGCACAACAATTATTGAAAGATTTGGGGGCTGTAGATAGTATTTTTGCTAAAAAGTGACTTTTTAAAGCACTTCAATATTTTTTGTAAGATATTTGTTAAAAGAAATCACGTGTCAGGGGAGGAGCAGAGTGACACTAAAGATTGCCGTAGGTGCCTCAGTTATCTGCCTCTGGTTTAGAGATTTGCAGATTTCTAGGGAGATGTGGGAAGAAAGAGTTATGTATAGTGATAGAGACCTGCCCTCCTCTATGTATCTATTAGGTTGATAAGTATCTTGGAAGGAAAGAAGAAGACAAATGTTCATGTCATTTTTCTCCAAAAAAAAAACTGTCCAACGATGGTGAAGTCTTCTTTTCCCCTCAGATCGTTGCTAAGAGATGAAACCCCTATAATTTTAATGCAGACACTACTTTAAAAACTGACTGGACTTGATTTTGCAGCTTCAAAAGTCTTGCATTGTTTAGTTGAATAATTGTTGGACTACATCATTGTAGTACACTCATGTCTAAAATAGGAGGGCTTTAACTATTTTTTTCTGTTTGTTTTTTTAATTAAAGTTTTTTTTGGTGACAATGGTTAGTAAAGTTACATAATTTTCAAGTGTACAATTCTGTAATACATCATCTATATATCACATTGTGTGTTCACCACCCAGAGTCAGTTCTCCTTCCATCACCATATATTTGACCCCCTTACCCTATGGTAACTACTAAACTATTGTCTGTGTCTATGAGTTTTTGTTTCTTTGTTTGTCTTGTTCCTTTGTTGCTTTCAATTTTATATCCCACATATCAATGAAATCATATGGTTCTGGACTTTTTCTATCCGACTAATTTCACTTACCACAATAATCTCAAGATCCATCCATGTTGTTGCAAATGGCACTATTTCATCCTTTCTTATGGCAGAATAGTATTCCATTGTGTATATGCACTACATCTTTATCCAATCATCTATCGAAGGACACTTTGGTTGTGTCCATATCTTGGCCACTATAAATAATGCTGCAGTGAACACTGGAGCACACGTATCTTTACGGATAAATGTTTTAGATTTTTGGTGTATATACCCCAGGAGAGGGATTGCAGGGTCATATGGTAATTCTGTACTTAATTTTTTGAGGAACCTCCACACTGTCTTCCATAGTGGCTGCACCAATCTGCATTCCCATCAACAGTGTACGAGGGTTCCTTTTTCTCCACAGCCTCTCCGACACTTGTCATCATTTGTCTTGTTGATGATAGCCATTCTAACTGGTGTGAGGTGATACCTCATTGTGGGCTTTATTTGCATTTCTCTGATGATTAGTGATGTTGAGCAAATAGGAGGGCTTTTAAATACTAAGTTGATGTACTTTAAAAGGGCATTACAAATTCTATTATTGTAATCTTTCAGTGGTTTTTCAAACCAGTACAAGATGTAATTTTGAACACTGAATAAATGATGCAGTGAGACTTTTCATTGGTTAATCAGAACCATCTTGATGGTTTACTCTAATTAAAATAAAATATGAAGAAGGGATACCTTCAAGGAATAATTATATCATTCATTCACATTTTCTCTGATGATAGTGCATGTTTTATAACTCATAGAGTTCTTAAAATTGTTTTGTTTTTTTTTAAAAAATCTGATTCCCTTTCTGTGTAGTGGCTACATACATTTTAAGTTTGAATACTAACATCAACCTTATAAATATATATCATTTGGCGTTCCTAGGGGAGAGATGCATCCTGCTATTAAATGTGTATAATTGTAGGATGATAAGCATTAGTTTTTGCTCTACATATGTTTTTTAAAACCAATTGTTTCTGACTGAAATTTACCTTGCTCTTTCCCAGGTAATTTTGTGTCTGGATGTTATCAAAAAGGCATTTTTGTTCTTATCTCATTTATTTGAAAGTATATCTTTGTATATAACCATCCTTCTACACTAAACTTTCTCATAACCTTTACTGTTAGGATTTATTCTATAAATCATACTTCAGTAGATTTAAGGGTATGAAAGAAGAAAGCCGTGAAGCAGTCATTTAATAGCAGCATTAACTTAAGTCTACAAAGAAGGGAAATGGAAAGGCAAATATCAACCTGAGTCAGACTTTAAATCCCAATAGGTGATTTTTTGGGCTCATGGTATTGTGCTTTCTCTATTGCCCCATCCTTATTTGAGGTTAGCCAGTGGCATTCTCTTTTAGTTCCTGTACTGAATGTCCCAAATCCTATTATTTTAGAGTTATAAGTGACCCTAAATATCATGCAGAGCTTCTAACCCTCTTTTGTACCATTGACCCCTTCTCAGAATAAGAGAATTGTTTTAAAATTTAAATAAAATGAGTAAGATTACAAAGGAAATCAATTACAGTAATGCCTTGGTTTGCGAGCATAATGCATTCCGGAAACAAACTTCTCATATTGCAAGACATCGCTCGTTTACCACGTTAACATGTATTAGAAATGTTTGCTCGTCTTGCAGAACACTCGCAAAACAAGTTACTCGCAATCCAAGGTTTTTCTGTATGTTGAAATATACTTTTATGTGTAGCCCAGATTAAGAATGCCTGAATCATTCATTATATAGATGAAGAAATGGAAGCCCAAAGAAGTTATGATTTGTTCAGGGTCTGAGCACTGTCTGACAGTCTTCTCTGTCAGCATGGACCATAATATCATCTTTAAGTCATTTTTTTTTTACCCTTAACCTTATGGGATAAAAAATATTATTTCTTAAGATTCAGAATGTGATGTGTTAATTTAATCTTGGCTGCTTCTTTGCAAACTTCATTTAACAATTAAACTGGGAGATGGTTTCTTTTAATTTTTATTCATCTCTACCTCTTTTCCCCTCTCATCTGTACCTTGAACACAAAGTCTCACCAGAATTTTTAGATAAAAAATAAAGTCCTTAGCCTTCAGTTGCTCCTCTCTGTGGTACCAAAGTGATTTTGTTAAAATGCAAATCCATGCAGTCCATGTTGGGGTAAAATTCTTCACTGTTTCTCTAAAGCTGGAAAAATAAAGACCTGACTCCTGTGTGGCACCCAAGGCTCTTCATGTGGGACCCTGCCTTCCTGTTCAGCGTCTCATCTTGTCCCTTCCAAACACTGCTTCACCCAAACCAACCTCCTTGTAGAACTCATATCCATATTTCTCTCTCACTGTTGTATCTTTGCACATAGTATTGTAGCCACTGCCTCCTGGGCTCTTTACCCATCCTTCTTCACCTGCTCAGTTTCTTCAGGACTCAAAGCAATAACTCTGTGCTTAAGTGAAGCTTGCTTTTGCTTTGTCCCAAGCTTATTTAATCAGCTCACTCTTTACACTGTGACAGTACTTAATATCTATGACTGTTCTTACATTTATTTATACTGTACTGCAATTATTTACATGTCTCTCTCACTAGATTGTAAGCTTGTTGAGAGTAGGGATCATATTTATTTCTGTCTCTCATCTCAGTACAGTGCCTCTGAGCATGGTAGATGCTCAACAAAGGCTGAATAAAGAAAAAGGTGGTGTTTCCTGTCCTAATAAATCAGCAAAGAGAATTTCTCCCCCAAACCTTTACCTTCTACTTCTATGTTCTGCAGTGTCCAGGTAAAAGACATCCTAATATCTATATATCATCTACTTTCTTTCTGCCTGAGCCTAGTTCTAATAAAATTTATCAGCTGACATCCTCTATGTTCTTTTCCATATTAGCTTGATGCGTGTTTGTTAGAATTTTTTTAAAGAATTTGATTTTTAACCATTTGTATTTATTTATATGGAGTGAAGGAATCATCTTTAGATTGGACCATTGTATTATAAGCTGTGTCAGATTTTCTTTCAAACATTGTACTTTAGTACGTAAGTTTATCGTCCAGTCAAGTACTAAGTTATTAACTGCATGTACCTTGGATTTTACTTTTTTAGAAAAGTGTTTTTTATAGCTTCTCTAAAGAACAGACTGGGCTTTACACTTCCAACCCAAGTGCCTTTGGTTTCTGCTGGTCCCTGTTGAATTTTCAGTGTTCACTATGAATTAATGTTAGGATGAGGGGCTCAAGAATTATCTGATGATTATGGCAACCAGTTGTGCTTTCCTTAGCCACCAAAGCTTCCATGTAAGTCCAGAGATCTGTCTCACACCTCTTTTATGCCTGTTTGTCTCACACCTCTTTTTGTTTTGTGTGGTGGGAATCCTGTTTTGTAGAATTTATAACATTTGTGGTCATTGCTGAGCTGTGATTATATGAGATGGTTTAGAGCAGTGGTTTTCAAAGTTTAGTTCATGGACCAGCAGCTTGTGAGCTTGTTAGAAATACACGTTCATGGACTCCTTCCATCCGAACTACTGTATCATGATCTGTGAAGACAGCGCCCAAGAAACTGTATTTTCACAAGCTGTCCAGTTGTTTCTTATGATGTTAAAGTTTGAGACCCACTGGTTTAGAGCAAGGAATTCAAACTTTTTCTGTAAAGGGCCAAATAATAAAGATTTTGGCTTTGCAAACCATACAGTCTCTGTCAGAGCTATTCAACTCTGCAGTTGCAACAAAATCAGCCATAGACAATATGTAAACAAATGAGTGTAGATGTGTTTCAGTAAAACTTTATTTACAAAAA